AATGATTGTAATAAACCAAGAATACAACTTTTGATGTTATACTCAGATATGAAGAACTGAGAATAGCTTATGGTTTCTGGGCAAAAATTACAAAGTAACATTTACTCTCTTTTTCCTAGAATCCTTGTTGATCTAGATTTTATTTGATATTTTGGTAGGCCTGGATTTGAATACCTGGACTGCAGCCTGGACCATGGGTTGCTTCAGCCTAAATAGCATCTTTCTGGAGAAGTCAATGGTAATAATATCCACCTACAGAATCATAGTATGATACGCCATATGAACATGAACGATATCAGTCATTAAATGCACACAAGTTCAAACTTGATGGTATAGGAAAATGTATAATATCGTGGTTAAAAATTCATCTTGAGATCAGTTGAAGCAAACATCTTTACGCATATAAGTCATAATTTAGCCAAACCTCGGAAATCTGGCAAGCTTGGTCGAAAGCATTCTGATTGAGCGGCAATACCGCGACGACGTTGTAGCTCTTCGTAATTGGGTTCCCGGAATTGAGAACAGAGGCTTGAACAGGGCTATCGACCGTTACAGTCAAGCGAGTGTACTGGCGAAAGGGAGAGGAGATGGGGACGTTTAGGAGGCCGCGGTGGAGCTTGGCAGCAGAGGAGATAGAAGGAGAGAGCTTGAGAATGGATGAAAGAGGGAAGAGAGGAATGGAGCAACGATCCGATTCGGACATGACTCCCTTGATCGTGCGGTTGTAGGCCACTCCAGTGTAGCCCAGCTCCATGGCCTTGATAATGAGCTTGAGGCGCATGGCCTTCGCCGACTTCTTGTCGGAGATATGGCGGTCGGACTCAACATACGGGATATTCAGGTCGAAGAACCCCATAGCTCAGGGGGGTCGGAGAATGCTCAACGGGAAGTGTGAATCAGACCGCCGGAATGGCGGTGAAGGGTTCTGAGGAGGTTTTGGGTCACGCGGGCCTCCAGTGTGTCGAACTTGTAGTATAGTACACTGTTTTTTTCAAGCCCATATTCTGTGATGTACTTCGTACATTTGAGCAAATGATAAATACAGAACCTAATAATATTTTGTTAAAATTAAATTAAAAGGGGTTAGGACAAGAATATAACTATAAATTAAAAAATGAACAAAAAAAGACATTTTTCTAATTTTCTAATTTGAGATAATAAAAAAAAGGGAAAAGTACATAAAATGTATCTGTGGTTTGGGCCAGATAGGGGCATGTGTTTCATTTTCTAACAAAGTAGGGCATGTGTTTCAATTCCGTTATCATAGCAGGGGCATGGCCTCTAACGCCGTTAGAAAAATTAACCCCGATTTTAAAAAGTCTCCGAAAAATTAAAAGAAAAATACCGGGAGGTGCGACTCGTCAAGGAGATCAACAAACTATCTTTATTTTTTTGTTTCCTGCCACCATATCTCCAGAAAGTCCACCAGAAAATTGATATTAGTGAATTTGTTTTTAAAAAATAATCCAAATAAAGCCGAAAAATCCAAAGAGAAAGATAGTTTGTTGATCTCCTTGACGAGGCGCACCTCCCAGTATTTTTCTTTTAATTTTTCGGAGACTTTTTAAAATCGGAGTTAATTTTTCTAACGGCGTTAGACGCCGTGCCCCTGCTATGATAACGGAATTGAAACACATGCCCCACTTTGTCAGAAAATGAAACACATGCCCCTATCTGAAAATGGCTCAAACCACAGGTACGTTTTCTGTACTTTTCCCTAAAAAAAAGACTAAGAGAATCATTACACTCTTATTAAATCCAACTGACCCGCTATAGTGACCAACACCCCAGTTACAGTGTCATTGACGGTAGTGAAGGGTTCTGAGGAGGTTTTGGGTTACGCGGGCCTCCAGTGTGTTGAACTTTGTGGCCAGGCCTAATCACCCGAGTACACTGTGTTTTTTTAAGCCCATATTCTGTGATGTATACATTTGAGCAAATGATAAACACAAAACCGAATACAGCAATGCTTGTTGTACCCACTCTTATACACACCTTATACCCATCATGTTTGTGAATGTTTTTTTTTTGTCTGTGAACCCAATTCACAGACAATATTTTGTTTGTGCAAAATATTGTCTGTGAGCCGGGATTCACAAACAAAAAAAAATCTTCACAAACATAGGTGGGTACAAATGTGGGTATAAGAGTGGGTACAAAGATCATTTTTGAACCGAATAATATTTTGTTAAAATTAAATTAAAAGGGGTTAGGACAAGAATATAACTATAAATTAAAAAATGAACAAAAAAAGACATTTTTTTAATTTTCTAATTTGAGATAATAAAAAAAGACTAAGAGAATCATTACACTCTTATTAAATCCAACTGACCCGCTATACTGACCAACACCCTAGTTATAGTGTCATTGACGGTAGTGACACTGCCAGTTACCATCGCCATGCCCGCTCCAGTGACATACTCCTCGAGCCATCCGGGTTCCTTCACTACCGTTAAGCCTAGTGACGCTGACGCCCGACCTAGTCACTGCCGCCTCTACCTGTTCCCTATCTAGCACCCCCTCTAACCAGGACAATGTTAGGGCACTGGGCCGGATTGAGCCGATACAAAGAATATTTTTAGAAGAAAATTTATACAGAATTTTTTACACTCTCAGGGCCAAGGTTGGACCCCCTAGCTATGCCCCTGCCTCTACCCTTCCCAGCCACCTCTCCAGCCCTCTCCTCATCCCATCCCCATCCCCACCGGCCAACCTTAGTTGTAGTAACCGCCAGTCCTGTAACCCTAGCTGCGGTAGCCACCGATTTTGTAGTCCTAGCAACGGCCGACGATGACCCCATCTCTACTTTGAAACCCTACCTGCACCGTCGCCGCACCGCTGTGGGTTACATAAGCCTCAAATCGTCAGAAGAAGAAGAAGAAGAGGAGGAGGAGGAGGAGGAGGAGGAGGAGGAGGAAGAGGAAGAGGAAGAGGAAGAGGAAGAGGAAGATTTATAGGCGGGGGCGGAAGAATTATAGGTGGGGGAGACGACCTAAAGGAGGAGATTGTGAGTGGTGCACATCAATAGGGTAGCAGCAACGTGAAGGTTGTTAAGAGCGGCAATTGAAAATAGGCGGTGGCAATTTTCAGTGGTGATGAGTGGCAAAGGCGGCTAGCGAAGGCGACGAGAAAAGGAGGCATCAGCTGGCGGAGACGATCGCTGGCGATGAGTGGTGATGAACGACGACGGTGAGGCTTTGGAGCGGCTATGCAGCATATTTGAGGAACTTCTATTGTTCACTGCTTATCTGAAGGAGAGAGAATAGTTAAGTGTGGATTGGGGTTATTTAGATGAGGGGTGTTTTTGGATATTTTTACTTGAACTGAAATTTTCCGATCTGGTCTGGTAAATGTCTGGTCTCTGTATTTTATAAATGTCTGATCTAGTCTGATTGGGTCTAGTTTGGGACTGAAAACAGTCCAAGTAAAAACATTTTTAATCTATGCATATATAATTAGTCTCTTTTTTTGTCTACATGAAAAGTGAGTACTTCATGTTATTTTTGTCCATTAAAAAACGGGTAGCATTAATTTTGTCATTATTTCAAATTAAAACTAGAGATGAAAATGAGAAAATAATTTTAATTCAGTAGATGATAAGGGAAGAGTAAGAAGATCATGGTGTTCTTGTTCATGTATGATGTGGTTGTTATTCATTCCGCATATAATCTTTTTATTATGTTACTTAAGACTTTAAGAGGTAAAAGGTGAATATAAATTTGATTACTCACAATGAACATGCTTTTAATACTCCGTATGTTTTTAATTCTATATATGTTTTTAATATATAGAATATACCGAGTATTTATAATTATACTAGAAACATATATATTGTTTTCTATATTCTTCTTTCAATTCCTTGGAGGATTTCAATGAGTGGTTCGTCTGGCCATCTGGGTATACGAGAGATAGAGAAAATATGATTATTTAAAAGAGGAAGTGTCCCACACTCCCACTGGTTGGTGCATCATAGTGTGTACATTCTTTTATCTAGTCATGGACCCGGTTCGGGGAACTTCGGGCCGCCCGGCCCGGGACCGGCCCGACCCGCTACTGTGCGGAACCGGAACCGGCCCGGTTCTCGGGTCCGGGTCGGGCCTAGGCTCGGTGGGGGGGCGGGTCCGGGCTCGGGCCTTGTATTTGGCGAACCGGCCCGGCCCGGCCGGGTCGGGCCCGGGTCCGGGCCGAATTGATTTTTTTTTTACATTTTTTGGAGTTACCCGGGTTGGGCTTGATGGTTAGGAGGGGTTTTGGGGGGTGAGGGGGGGTTAGGAAAGCAAAAAAAATGACCAAACCGGAGGCCAGGCCCGGACCGGACCCGGTGGCTACCCGGGCCGGTCCCGGGTCTTCCTTCCCAAAAAAACCTGGCCGGGCCCGGCCCGGGTCCATGACTACTTTTATGATACCCGCTTTATTGTGGCATGTTAGCAAGAGGAATATTTAGATATTTTGTGGCATGTTAGCTTTTTTAATGTTTAATTAACCCTTCTAGAGAACCCTTTTAGAATTAATTAGCCCCTGCGTACTTGGTGAGCTTGTGCTCATTGTAAGGAAAAAGAATCATGTATGTTTCTTATTTACAAACATATTCAATTTTCTTCCAAAACCTCCATTTTGGAAGTGTGTGATACCTTAAGATGGAAGACAACTTTAAAAACACATTTCTCCTACATTGTTTTCCTACTCAAAGGGGAATGGAATAAAATCCCTTCCCTCTCCACACATTCCTTGAGAGCTAAAAACAATGAAAAGTAGCCTTCCAAGTGAAGATAAAGGGGGTAGACAATCTTACCACTTTTAAAAAAGAAGTATTTTTGGAATATCAACCTGCGTTTTTCAACAATTCATTTTACATTTTGTAGTGTCCAGCAGTCCAGGTGAATGGAGAGCAAATTACATTACATGTATAAGGAATGACCAAGTTTTGTGTCTTGTCATAAACCTTAAATAGTTAAATGTAGTATAGTAATTCTATTAGCATCATATAGCATGATACACCCCTTATAGAAGAGAAATGGAGATGGAAGAATGGAGAAAGAGGCAAATTAAACTAACCAGCCGCATGTCAATGTGTCATTCACAACATTTCATACTGCAGAGACTTCACTACTGCATATGAAAAGTTAAATATGATGCGGTTTATGCCCACATCTAAAATAAAATAAAATAAAAAACTAATTATCAACCACCCGCTGTTGGATGATTATCTTTGGGAGAAAATATTCATGTCTGAATAAATCCTATTATCTGAAAATACTACAAATGTCTAGTGAATGTGAATCCAAATTGTGGTAACTTCAAGCTGCTATCAGCATCAACAGTCAACACCATCAGATGGGGGAAAGTGAGTTCAATTAATCCAATATTTTACTATTCTGCCTTGTGCTTCTCGGTTTTCCTTTCCCTTGTCCGAGCAGTCATACGCCTACCCACAAACTTGAGAACCTCATCTATCAATATGACAGGCAACGCAACCGCTAACACAAGCAGCCACTCATTCAGGCTAAGCGGGACGATCCCAAACACTTGAGCAAGAAAAGGCACGTAAAGAATCAAGAAATGCAAGGCAAAGGAGACCGACATGGCCACTAGAAGCCAAGGATTGACCCAAGGTGGCATCGTCAAGAGGCTTCCATCCTCCGAAAGGGCATTCAGAGAATTAAACATTTCAATGGCTACTAATACGGAGAGGGAAAGTGTCATGGCCTTGATTTTACCCGTCTGGAAGTAATCACATGGGTTGTCGTCAAAACTGTACACCTGAGACCCTGCCGTGAACGGGGAGGCACTGAAATTCTTCCAAGAACTGCACTGCCCCCAGTTTGAGAGTTGGGAGTAGGTCACTAGGCTGTGCCCATCCCCACTTAGGTCAATTCCGAGGAAGGAATGATGGGTGAACCATATGATGAATACTCCAACTGTTGCAAGACCAACATAAGATCCAATCACCTGCATTCAGCAAAATTAAATGGTAATAAGAACACAGCTCCACAAAGCTAAGGATGGACACACTCCGGGGCAACCACAAGTTTTATATTCAGGTCAAGTCAAGTGAAATTGCGTTAAACCTGGTCCAATATTTTTTAAATATAAATATATGGTTAGGATCTAAGGTTTACAAATTCTATGTCAAGTTCAAACAGAAATCCGAAAGTTGGTCTGAAACTTTTTTTGGACAGTTTTTGGCTGTGAAGATTTGTACCGAACTTTTTTGGGTTCCTCTTTGAGGATTGGGTCAAACCCGAACTCTAAATGTAGAATAAAAGCATGGTTTAAAAAGGCGCCTATGAGGTATGTTTTGAGATGCCTGAGGCGCTCAAGAACTGAAGCTCACGACCCTATTGACAACTTTCCTTCATAGAGTGAATCTCAAGATCGTTGACTAGGCTGTACACCTAGCCTCACAAATCCAAAAGCATCAAGGCTTATTAGCGCCTTCTTAAACATTGAATAAGAGACCATAAAACTGCATGGGCAAATAGTAAACAATGCATACTAGGTAGCGGAACAATATCCATGGACTGATTAGTGAATCTTCACTTCTCCTGGGTGGTTTCTTCATAATATCTTTGTCTGGGGGATTGAATCCCAATGCCGTTGCTGGGGGACCATCTGTGACTAGGTTGACCCACAGAAGCTGAACTGGGATCAAGCCTTCTGGAATACCTAATGCAGCTGTTAGAAAAATACAAGCAACCTCTCCCATGTTTGAAGATATCATATACCTGCAAGTACGCAAGCAATGTTGTATCGTTGCTTCAGAGCACCAGATGTAAGCAAAGAGGTTATTGAAGAAACAATTATGGATTATTCCCCCCATCACCAAAAAAAGAACAATTGAAAACTTATTTTTGTACCAAGGAGTAACTTTTTTATTTGATGTAATTTTTACATAACGAGTATCACTAATAAGTTAAATTTGTTACATCTAAATAAACCAATAAATAATTTTAAAAGTAGAACTATAATTGAAAATTTTTATTAGATGTACCGTACATTACACTAAAGTTTAAAAGTATTACCTTAGTAAATGACCCTTTTAGAGGGAGCTAGTATGTTTTGATTACAGGTCAAACCAATAATCAACAAATATTTAAATAGAACCGCGAAAGCAATGATGAAATGAAGTTACAAACAACACAAAAAATAGCAATTAACAGACCTGATGAAGGCCTTCATGTTGTTGTAAATGGACCTGCCTTCACCAACAGCTGCAACAATTGTGCTAAAATTATCATCAGCCAAAACCATGTCAGATGCTTCCTTTGCTACCTGGTCAAAGACAACAGCGGATTTAGCTGTAAGACCAAGATCAGATAATATAAGTCATTTTTATGTCTTTAAAAATGCAGTTGATGAAAATTTAGATCCATCACAACTACAGACTCACAGTTAAAATATTTAGAGTTAGGTGTTTGAATTGCTTTTGCCGAGTAAATTAATACGTAGTATCTAAATAAATAAATAAATAAATAAATAAATAAATAAATAAATAAATAAATAAATAAATAAATACTGATTCCCCAGAAAAGAAGCTTATTATGTTAAAAAGCTATTCTATCGTAGTTTTGCTTGAATAGAAGTTTAGCAATTACACAAGTAAATAGCTAATGGTGTTGGAATCGATCTAGGTGTTCCAGTAATATATCAGTAACATTAGTACCTCAGTTCCAGCAATGCCCATAGCAATACCAATGTCAGCCAACTTTAATGCAGGTGCATCATTAACACCGTCTCCCGTCATTGCAACCACCTCGCCATCTTCTTTGAGCAATCTCACTATCTCTTGTTTATGTCTTGGCTCTGCCCTAGAAAACAAAAGCCCTCCATTCTGCCTTAAATGTGATTTTGGGTCACGAAGCTCCATGAATTCTTTTCCAGTTAAGCTCCTAGAAGTGAAATCCTCATTGTATCCGAAAACTCCAATCTCACGGCAAATGGCTTCAGCTGTATTCTTGTTGTCTCCTGTAATTACCATCACTCGAATCCCAGCATCTCGGCAATCCTCAATAGCTTGGGGTACCTCTGGCCTAGGAGGATCCTGACACAACAAGTCAACAACAACAACAACACAAATGTTGTATCATAGCTTCCGAGCCTTTGGGTCTGTTCAGATCCCAGTAATACTAGAGAAAGAAAATGAAGGAAAGCAAGTACAAGGGGATAAAAGATAGGCTCAAGGCTCAACACAATAAATTGATTTTAGGTATTTGTCCTAGCTAATTCAATGGAGCCAAAAACTCACTGTTTTTGGCTTGGGAATATGATGGAATAAAGCAAAATGGCTCACTAAATTGTCTGTGTTTCTTTGTTATGAAGTAACAGTCAGTCAATGCAATTTTTGACGTGATTTTCACTATGGGTCATTTGGAAACAGTCTCCCTGTGCTTTAGTACATGGGTAAGACTGCGTACATCCGACTCCCCCTTACCCCACCGTAGGTGGGAGCCTTTGCAGCACTGGGGTAATGATGATGATGATGTCCTAGGCTCCTAGCTAATTTTAATTTAATTATTTCTATATATGTATGTACTATGTTTTGGGATTAAGGCTTGGATGTTGTTGTTTGTATGTACTATGTATGTATGTATGTAGGTAGGTATGTATGTATGTATATAACACTAAGAAAGCTAAATAGATGTACTAAAACATCAAAAAATGAATGATGTGTCCTTTTCCTTAGTACTCCCTCTGTCCCGCTAAAATTGTCTCATCTTTCCTTTTTGGTCCGTCCCACTAAGATTGTCTCATATTAAATTTGGTAAAGTTTGTGTGGTTCTAAATCCTTTTTACTTTATTCTTACTTTATCAATTCAATATCAACCACATAACCCACTTTTCTTAATAACCTTTCCACCTCCTCATGTCCCAGGGAAAAGTTAAACTTAAAAATACAGCTTTCCTTAACATCTATTTTCCTTTCCCTAGCATTTTCCAGAATCCAAAAAAAAACTTAATGACAAAACGATCATGAAGAAGAAATCTAGTAGCTCACCCTTATCCCAGTTAATCCAGCAAATATGAGATTACTCTCAATAGAAGGGTAATTAGCAGGATCAAGTAAGCAAGCATGATCAGGGTGATCTTCATGACCATTATAGGATGCAAATTGAGGTGGGTTGTCCTTATATGCAAAACCGAGAACACGTAATGCTTTGGAGGACATGTCATAGAGACTTTTCAATATTAGATCCCTTGAACTGTGATCAAGTTCAACAACAGAACCATCCATCAATTGCATATGTGAACTTCTCTCCAACAAATTTTCAACGGCACCCTGCAAAGACAATAAATAATAGCTCATTTCCAGAGGACCAGAAAGACCTTTCTAATGACTTCCATTCAAAATTATGTGTATCTGTATTTTGTGCTTAGTTAGACGGATCATTATGTGTAGTGACCCAAATCAGTAAGTAATTTCCAACAAAACACACCTTCACCAATAAGAACTTCTTATCAGGGCTGGAGCTCACAATAACAGACATTGATTTCCTATCGCGGTCAAACTCTAGAGTTGCAATGCGCGGTGCAATTTTTTTCCATGTGGATGAGCAACCTTAGAGACAATTGCTTAATGTTAATATGCAAGTACCAATGATAAACCACCAAAAATAAATGTTAATGTATCATACATTTGGTACTTACATGAGGCATCACTATGACTTTTAGGAGAACTAGAACCCAGGCCTGCAGGTAGCCCCATTTTCTCAACCAACACCTGAATTAAATAAAGAACCCTCAATGACAATAAAATCTTCTTCGAAAAAAAAAAAATCAAGTAAGAGTACAAATAAACCTTTCATATGAAAAACAAATCCAACAAAGAATTAAGCTCTAATAAATAAATAGTGTAAACACCACACTGCAAAAGTTGTTATATATGCTAGCTACATGGGAGATAGAGGCCACAATGGCTCGATGCCATAGTGTCATTCTCGACTAATCCACTAAGGATATCGAGAAGTACAGTACTAGCTTTTGCAAAAGGAAGCACATGAAAATAAATTGATTCTTAATGAAAAGAACTGACTGCCTAATTTCACCTTTAATGCGGCCTCAGTGGGCAATCCTGTAGCAACATAGTGCTGGCCAGATTTTTCAATACCAGAATCATTGCACAGAGCGGCAATTTTTGCGATCATCTGAAGATTGGAATCCATTTCACGTGATGGCCAATCTTGTATTTTCCCATCAAAAGGGTTATATGTTGTACCTTCCACATTGAATGATCTCAAAGCATTTGCCTTGGAACCCATGGCAACAAGCTTAGCCACAGCCATTTGATTGGTAGTCAGCGTTCCCGTTTTATCCGAGCAAATAACGGTTGTACAACCAAGAGTTTCAACACTTGGCAATTTGCGGACAAGAGCGTTCTTGGCAGCCATCTTACGTGTTCCAAGTGCCAAACAAGTCGTTATAACAGCTGGCAAGCCTTCGGGGATGGCAGCAACAGCCAATGCAACTGCGATTTCAAAGTAGTAAGTACACTTCTCAAATGAAAACTTAAAATTCCTAGGCCATCCATCAACAAACTCCCAAGACAGGAAGTATTTCACATTGATAAGCCAGACAAGAACACAAATTCCTCCAATGATGGCGGTTAAAACCTCTCCAAACTCATTCAGCTTTTTCTTTAGCGGTGTATCATCCTCACATTGTGATGCTTCATGAATCTGTGAGTGAACCTTTCCTATTTCAGTTCTCATCCCGGTTAGAGTAACCAGACAAATGCAATTACCATTCACAACTGTAGTTCCTGCAAAGACCATGCATTTCTTTCCTTGTATATCGGCATCTTCTGCAACAGCCTTTGAGGTCTTACTGACAGCTTCACTCTCCCCAGTCAATGACCCCTGCTCGAGACGAAGTGTTGAGCTGATCAAACTCAATATCCTCATGTCTGCAGGCACTTTGTCGCCTACTTTCAACTCAACAATATCCCCCGGAACAAGTTCCTTTGCGGACAAGTTAGAGGTTTTGATACCATCACGGATCACGGTGGCATGCTCAGACTGAATCTCCTTCAGAGCTTCCAAAGCCTTTTCTGCATTGTTCTCTTGCCAAACCCCAACTATGGCATTGACGATTAGGATCAAGAAAATTACCAGAGGCTCCACGAAGGCTGTAATCTCCATCTCACCCCCTTCATCTCCATCGTACCAAGCCAAGACAAAGGAAATCACAGCTGCTACAAGCAGAATCCGTACTAACGTGTCGTTAAACTGATCCAAAATCAATCGGAAAATTGAAGGGCCGTCGTGCTTCTCCAATTCATTCGTACCATAAACCTGCCTCCTCGCGGAGGCTTCCTCGGTAGACAGCCCATCCTTCTGATTCACCTCGTATTTCTCCAAACACTCATTCACATCCTTGGCCCAGGCGGGAAACACTCCATTTTCCGAAGCCGTTCTACCATCTAAACTCGCTTTCTTCCCGGAGCCCTGCCCTCCTTTTCCCATTAATCACTCTATCTGGCCCTAAGAATTAGAGCAATTGGACCTGAAAATCCCACAAAAAAAATATCAAATCTTAAACATCACGATCTAATTATACTACGGAATATAAGGTTACTACAGTTTTCAGAAACATCCGAAATCCGAAGTGTGTATAAGAACTCACACGCGCGCATAAACACATAAGATTCGGTTAAGGGGATACTTTACCGGAACAATGAACCAATGATAGAGATGCTGGGAGATGAGAAAAGTGCGATGAGTGAACTCTCAGCGATGCTCTCTCTTGGTAAACGGAAGAACTATTTATATTTTACACAAGGAATCGACTAAATAAATAAACAATAATAATATTAATAAAATAAATAAACAATAATAATATTAATAAAATAAATAAATAAATAATATTCCACCAATAAATAACGGGTTGTCGACCCCATATTCATAGTTCTGGACTTCTGGGTAGTCATTACTCATTATAAAAAGAAAGATACTCATTGATAATGACAAAAAATATCAAAAACTGAATTTAAGTTACTGAGTATTAGAATGAGGAAAATCTTTCTGAGTTTGTGTCGTTTACATAGATTATGTATTAAAAAATCATACCGTTTTTAAATAAATGCAACACTTTGACTTTTACACTATTCACATGTTCTACTTTGACTATGTTTTATTTATTAATGTAATAATACTATATTATGAAGAAAAAAAATATTGTTAAACTTGTCTCATTGTAAATTTTCATAATCTAATTTTTTTAATTTTTTTACTAATACAAAATTATTTATATTAATGGTCAAAGTTGTGTATCGGCAAGTGTGAAATGTTGACCGTTACATTTATTTAAGAACGGAAGAAGTATAATTTATGTATTATGAAGTATATGCATACTATTTAGGTTCTTATGTAACACGTTATAAGCATGATGCTCTAAATTCTAGATTTTTTTCCTTTTAACCATGTGGCTATCGATTATAGACTTTTCATTTTCCTTCCTATTAATGGCCATGGTGATTCGTTGTTTTTCTCATGCTCAAAATGAAAACTATGTTCCATTGTAACAATCGATCAATTAAATTCTTTTGGATGTATTAGCATATATGTATATATTATATATTATATCCATAGAGAGCTATAGAATATATTGTAAATATCTCTCCTTCATATCTCCCATGATTCCCTTCTTATTTAATTAGTTTCCATATGTACTCTACTCAAACATTTACAAATACATGCATAGTGAATATAATCCCCTCAAAGAAAAATTCATATTCCTTCATGGTTTCAGGCTACTTGTATTGATCATGCTTTTCTTTGTTCTCTTTTCATTCGCCAATCACCCCTCTTGCCTACCGTTGAGCCATGACTAGTGAGAACCCTCTTGTATAGCCTATTCATCCAGCCCTCACCCTCAATAACATAAAAAAAGTTGTCCCAATCACTCTCGATCCTAAGAATGATGAGTACTCATCTTGGGTACTTCATTTTCAGCTACATCTTGAAGCTCACAACCTCATATTCCCAGTTGATGGCACTCCTCCCCCAGCATCATCGATGAACCCACCCGCAAGCAATTAGATGCCCTTCAACCGTGGATGTTTTCCACCATGTCAAAAGGACCTCATACTCACCATTCTTCACTCCGACAAGACCACACAAGACCTTTGAGACCACCTCCAAGCCTTGTTTCAAGACAACAAAGGAACCTAAACTGTCATCTCGTGAATCTCAAATTCACGGATTATAGCGACATGGACGATTATTGTGACAAGCTTAAAGCTCTACCCATTCGGCTCGAGGGTTAGGGGGTTTGACTTCCCGATGAATGAGAATGTTTGGTGATTCAACTCGTTCATGGCCTGCCCCCATAGTTTGATATTGTCGCCTCCTTCATCTCAGAATCTATGTCTCCTTTTGACACTGCTTGTTCCAGCTGTGAACGGAAGAGCAATATCGAGCACAACTATGACCAGTCTGGCTCTTTCTCATCAGAATCAATAGCTTCGCTTCACCGAAAATCAACATCGCTACAGTCGTAACCATCCTCTTGATCGTGGTAGCAATTAGCACCACTCGAAAGGTGATCCCTCCAAGAACTCGTACCAGTCTTCCCGACCGACAAATAACCCCTTCATACCTGAATTTCAAGCCTATCCATGGTCTATGGGCCTCCATATTGGGCTATTCCCCCTGCCCATATCCCAGTATGTGTACTCCATATCGGGCAGCTACTCCTCACCATCCCCCCAGGCCGACTAACAGCAAGGAAAGGCATGTAGAAAGGGTTAAAATATAACAGGAAGACATGTAGAGTTTATTTGTTAAAATATACTCCGAGTAACTGGTAACTTTTCTAGACATATGAACACAACACCAAAACACCAAAACTTTTCCTCTAACACTACAAACTGCTAAATCTCTTGATTAATTACTACTCCATTTAAATTTGAATTTCAATAAATTAAAATATATCATATAAAACAGCTAATACACATGAACTAAGCCAAACTCCTTTTGTATCAGATGCAATAATTGCAGGTTGCATTTACTAATTTCATAAGATAATTTATGACATTCAAGTTCAAGGACACCACATAATAGAAGCTTACTATCATTCAAAGGATTTTTTTTGCAAACCAAATAACTATATTATTGATTATCGTTTTCCAACAAAACAGCAATACAATCCGGTGGAATCCCCACCTAAGTACAATCAGACTCCGAAACAACTTGCCTTCCCAAGACATGGGCAACCCGATTCGCTGATCGCTGCACAAAGTGGACATTTGAACTAGCAAAACTTGCCATCATATGTCTAATTTCAGCGTAGATACAATCCTCATACGAGATACCATCAGAAGCTATAATTCCATTAACAACCGAAAGTTCATCTAATTCGACAATAACGGGTCGCCATCCAGCTTGGGCCGCCCAATGGATCGCCTCTCGGATAGCAAGCGCTTCCGTTGTGCTAACTGAAAATCGCCCCTGCTCCCTTACTCTCTTTCCAGCAACAAAAGAACCTTTATTGATACACTTGTAATTTCCATATGTATGTGTATGTTTTTAGTTAGCTTTTGTTGTTTGATACTACCTCCGTCCCCCTAAATTTGGGACAAGAGAAAGTGGCACAATTATTAATAAAAGTGGGTTTATGTGGTTGATATTGAATTGATAAAGTAAGAATAAAGTAAGAATCATTTAGAACCACACAAACTTTACCAAATAAGGTATGGGACAATCTTAGTGCGACGGACTGAAAAGGTAAAATGAGACAATCATAGCAGGACGGAGGGAGTACTTTGGAAATTACACACTTTTGGTGTAATAGTTATGTTTATAAAATAGTTGTAATATGTTTTACATTAGGTCTGTTCTGAGCTAAAACAGGTCCAGGATCAATCAAATGATCATTGGTCAAACCAAAAGAGGAAGGAAGATGCAAGAGTACAAGACAAAAAAGGAAAGTTCTTGATTTTGACCTGTACCCGGTCTAGTATACCATATAACCGATTGGGTACCCACTTGACTTCCAATCAGATCAATTCGGGAAACAAAGAGACGTGCAGGGGAAGATTTGGCCACGATCAGTTGTTATACCCGATCGGGTACACCGACACACCCGATCGGGTATACCTTTAATTTTAACCCTGAAATTGGTCGAGTATAGCTCGAATTCATCATTCTGCAAATACTCGATTGGGTACCCTATGTATACTCGATCGGGTACATGAGCTGCATCCCCAAAAGCCTATAAATACACCTCCTTTCCTTCACAATTAGAAACCAATTCCTATACACTTCTAAGCTTAGTTTAGAATAACATTTCTTTATATTTTTCTAGCATGTTTAGTCTCCAAATGAGGAGCTAAACTTCCATTTCTTGGTGTTGCTCTTGAAGCTTGTTGATTATTAAAGTTGTGAGTCATTTTCTTAACTTCTTCCCTTGAATATTAATTCTTCCCTTAATCTATGTATATATTAATGTTGGGGAGTGTTACTAAGATGACAATTAGTTAAATCTCGACATTAGTTATAGTAGTATTTATTTTCTTCCTCTATATACTAAATGTTGGGGAGTGTTGCTAAGATGACAATTAGTTAACATCTTGACATTAGTTATAGTAGGATTTATCATCTTTAATATTCTTCCTTGAATATTAACTAATTCCTATTCATATTTCATATTAATATTTTGAACATTACTTAAAGGATCAACTAGTTTTGTTTCATATATTAATTACTACTACAATCAATTAACGAACCGATGGTTAATCGTTGATGGTTTCACAAGTAAGTAACTTCGGTTTATCAATGCACGGTCGTGGTTAATAAACTTAAGAGAGATTAATTATGTTGGTTAAACCAAAATCGTTGTGGTGAGGTTATCAATCTCAATTGATTTCATCAAGGAGTTAGGAGGTCAAATGCTACTATTAAATCGGTATACGGCGTTGTTCTATACTTGACTAATAGTAAGGGTTATTAATGAACGGTCGTTGTTAATAACTACCCTCGATGAATTGGATATACTCCTCGATTGAGTATTCGAGAGGGGATAAGTTATAGATATAACCATGATCAACTAAAATATATCAACAAGTGGAAATTAGCAATGCCAGGTCCCTTTTATTCTTGAATTAAATCTCATATAAGTCGTTCATCTTCGTGTTTAATTAAATTAAATCACTCAATCCCAAAACCCCCCTTTATTTACTAGTTTTATTAAAAAGAGAATTATTCCTTTCCCTGTGGATACGAACTCTACTTCACCTATACTACGTATAAGTGTTAGTATCGAATTATTTTGACGCACAGTGACAAAGTGCTCGTCATTTATCATCCCTTTCAACCATCCCTAACCTTGCCTTTCCCCTTGCACTTGTACCGCTGCATCAACATTTATTTTAATAGTACCCGAACTCGGCGGTTTCCACGTGTCAAGAGCACCATGAACCCTTCCCTCCTGATGTTTAGAGCGAGTTTCCCGCCACCCGGATAGCATAGCCTCTCCACGAGCCACTATTCCCCTCTAAGTGGACTTTACATTCCTCCAAGCTTTCTCATTCCTTGCTTTCCATAAGCTCCATCATATCACCACAAATTGACTGAACTCCGTATTGGGGCACCTAGTCCTAACCGCATTAGCCCACTCCTCGAAAGCAGTCGCACTAGCTTGAACAAAAATTTTATTTTGACTCCGCCACACCTCTTTTGCCAAGATACAATCTCGAAGGGCATGCAAAGTGTTTTCCCTGTCCACACCGCAGGTGCTGCACACCGGCCATATCGGCACTCG